ACCTAATTTAAACGAGAGATCAAACCATTATATTGAATGCATGCATCATTTGAGCGTCATAGGCCCTCGCCTTAAATGAGATACGTTCATGATAATTCCTTATAGCCGCTAGCACTAAATGGCCGAGTCATTCATGCTCGCCTCTTTCACTTCCGCTTTAGTTGATTCGAATTACTTCGCCTCCTAATGATAAACTCCTTCCAACGAAAATGAAAATGCATTCAGAAAATTTTTATTGTTATAAAGCAGCTTAGAAAATCTTGAACTGGATTGAAGTGGGTATTGAGATTGTCAGGACAAAACATTAGATTATAGGACGAAACTTCTCTGTAATAAGTAATTGGGGCATAGAAAAATGAGTGAGCCCTGAAATGAAGACTGAAATGCAATTTGAGTAACATTGAAAACCTAAAGTCAACAAAAGAGATGAGTATGAACAGTGAGCAAAATATACGGAAGTTTCCAAAAAGGAATTCATTATTGAATAAGTAGAAAAATACAAAAGCGTCAATTTCACGATGAATAGCCGAAGATATGCGAGTTGGACCTTCGCCTATTGCAGAGAACACTAACTCCGATGGCCGGAAAGTCTGCCCCTGAAGTAAGCCATAAGAGCGTTTAACAAGGCTATAGCGTCCTCAGTGAGTGGCATAAAAGTAAGTTAACAGAGGCGTAAAACCCGGAACATCCAATAGACTTGCCAGGGCCTCTTCATCGTACGAAAGATTGCTGCGCTAGAGTTCCGTTCTCGCGCATTTTAGGCACCATTCTCATCATTGGCATCAACGGCAAACGCTCATCTTCCATCTTTCGGGTCAGCTCCTTAGTGGAGGCCGCGTGGCGAACAAATTCAATTAAAAATTTTTCTCTACCTTGAATTTTGGACGCTAGGAATACCAGCTCCGTCGCACGATGTGCGTAACTGAAAAATATTAACCAAGTTCCGTTTTCTTTTTTTTTTCGCTGGCCGTGCTGAGAGAGTTCTTTCACTATTTCTGCAGTGAACTGGATCAACTCATGCCATTGATTTCGAACAGCACATACAGTTAAATCCTATAAATATTTGAGAAAAATGATAGATTCGGATTATATGAAGGTTAGCATAACAAAAATATTAGGCGGAAATTTCTGTTGTGCGTCCAGTTATTGCGATTCCAGCCTAGATATTAAACTGAATCTGGCTTTTTTCAGGCCTAAATTATTAATGAATCAGTGATGAGGTCATGCATACATATTTAATAATCAGAATGTTGCAAAATAAATACACTGATTTCAATCTAACGTTTCAGATGATATAATTTCGGCAAGAAAATGCATAAACAGAAGCTTCAACTTCGAACATAAGCTTTTAATTTGCAGCTCGATCCATGTAAATTTTTTCAGAGTTTTAGCAAGAAGCTTTAAATCCCAAATAGCAGCGTTGCTCAATGAATGAGCAATTCTGCGATCTGGATGAGACTGATTCATCAATAAAAAAATTTGAATAAAATCAGAGAAAAACGTAATTTTTGATTTAGCTGAGCTTTAATTACGTTGCTAGACATTAAAAATAAATTCCACTATTTCAGCTAATTATTTCCATTGAGATTTTGAAAGTTGAAGAATAACATTAAAATATAAAATGAAACTAATGTCGTGTAGAAAGCTCAGATCTGCAATAAATTGAGGCTGGTCCGAAAAATCTATGAAATTTCACCGAAATTTGACCAGGAAGCTAAATTGATCTAAAAAATCACGTTGCATTAAAAAACAAAATTGCAACGCCTTCCAGAAGGGCCGACTTCAAATGGAGCAGAAGTAAGCCATGGAAACATTTTCTTTAAACTACAAAAGATATTTTTTCAGACCCAATTCGAAGAAATCGAATCGGCGCTCCGGTGGCCAGAGCGAGGTGCGAGGCGAAGGAAATTGTATCACAATGTTGGTGTCTCATGAAATTAGTTTCCGATATTTTCCACGAAATTAAACACGCTCATGGGTTCTGAAAATGGTGGCCTAAAACGACCGCAGCCTATATTACGGACCACAGGCATGGAAGTCCTGGGAGAAATCAGGCAGGAAGGCAGGCGCTCAATTTGTGGAGCTTTCAGATGTTGGCATGCGCGAGAGTTGCTAAGTCAATCTAGACTAATAGCAAGACGAAAATAATTCTAACTTATTGCGGCTCTAGACTTTACGTTGGAAATGAAATTTTACAAGCTAAACAAGATTAAATTGGACTTAGATATAAAAAGTGTTCTAAATTATGCAACACCACATAACAAAAACGTTAAAATATCAAAACTTCAGTTGGTCACTCTCATTCAAATTTCCTTGCTTTTCAGCTTTCAAATCATCCAATTAAGGAATTCAACATTGTGAGTGCCACTTAGTTGAAAAATCATGACTAGTTCATGAAATGGAATAAATTAATTTCACAATAATATTTCCTTCACAAAGAGCAAGAGCTGTGACCTCTCAAAGGTAAACACTTTTGAGCCATAAAGCTCTTTTCAAAGACTGATCTATGGCGAAGCTGCGACTTTTTGCCAAAGTTTTTTAACGAGCAAATGCTCTCTTCGACGCAACCAGTTTTTTGCACTTACAAGTGACCGCCTCAGCGACAGAATCTTCTGTGAGAAACTTTTCCGGCGATCCCGGTAGGTCTTTCTCACTTTTGTGTTCTCCTTTGAAGCGTTTGGCTCGTTCACTATTGAAGCTCAACGTCGTCATTCATTACGCTCCAAATTACTGCACTTCCTTCAAGAAGACTTTTTATTCGAGGTAGTTTTCTGCCTTCCCTTACGTTTAGAGTCGAAGACTTCCTAGCAGCAATAGCGCGGCACAAACTCCTATTAAGGAAGCAACCGCCATCTTCACTAGAATTAACAGCCTTCGAAATAGCTTGAGGCTCATTTGGAAACGGGAGCTATTTAATATGCACTAAATGTGTGCTGCGACCCGTGCTTTATAAGAGACGAGCTTCTCATTACAAGAACGAGCACGATTGTCACATCGCTCGAGTGACTCCTTGAACGACTTTGTTGACAGCACTCCTGTCCCCTCCGCGCAAGGTTTTCTCAACAAATGGTCTGCTTTGACAACAGGTCTCCTAGGGATCTTCAGCTCCATAGACCTCGTCTCTAAGTTTAGAGCTAACTTTATTCGACATTACCGCTGCAATTTGCATTGACTTTTCAGTCGTTCATCGCCAGCAAATGACCCGCATTGCTAACGATAGTCTATATTCCCGGTGCAAAGAAATTATTCTTTCTCAGCACACGACAATGAAACTTACGAACCGTAAGACGAAAACCTGAATGTCTTACATTCGGACTCTTGTCGAGCGTTAAAATTCCATTAAATTTAGATTCCCGTGTTGACGACGCGAGACATTAAATTTCAATCTAATTGAGGTTAAAAAAAAAGAAGAAATCACATCTTAAATAGAAATTAGGCATGCATAGAAAGATTTTCCAGCACAATTACTTGCAAATTTTATCAAAATGCTCCAATATTGTACTCTACAGTTAATTGTATTGCAGATTTCTCGTGGAATGATCGTCATGAGTCACGAATCGTGTTCAGATGTAACTCATTATTTTGCTAAAATAGTTACTTGGAAAATAAAAATATTGCAAATTTGGCACTGCACTTGAACTTTGTAGCGCGTGTGGTTACGAAACTTGGACGAGATGAATATCTAAAGTAGATAATGTAGCAGCTTTGCAGGGGAAACTTAGCACAAACACCCAAAAACAAGCATTAGAGTTAACATATCTGGAACATATATCTTTAATAACGCAAACAAATATTATTAATTAGCGGAAGACTTTTACGTATTAATTGACCAATCAAGAATGCACTTCTACCAACATTTTAGATGTATTGTTTAATGGTCAATGTTTACTATTAATAATCGTTTATGAGCTGATGATAGCGCATCATTTCCATTCAAATCTTCACTTCAAATTCGTACGGAGTTCATCTAGGTATGTTGATGTAAAAACACATACATTGGCTTTACAGTGGCCAACATTGATAAGGAGTAATTTTCTTCAAATTTTTCTTCAAAATAAATAATTATTTACCGGTGAACTATTCAGGTATTTATGACAATACAATGTCAGTATTAACGTCGTTATTTAGGGCTATAATAATGTCAATAATACTTTTACTAATATGTGATTAATAATATCAATTTTAAAATGGCCATTAATATTAATATCAATATACCTTCTAATATAAATTTTAATTTATATATTTTTACACTGTCTCAATAACTGTCGCCATCTCTGTCACCATCTCTGTCGCCATCTCTGTCACCATCTCTGTCACCATCTCTGTCACCATCTCTGTCACCATCTCTGTCACCATCTCTGTCACCATCTCTGTCATCATCTCTGTCTGTCACCATCTCTGTCACCATCTCTGTCACCATCTCCGTCACCATCTCCATTACCATCTCCGGCACCATCTCTGTCACCATCTCTGTCACCATCTCCGTCACCATCTCTGTCACCATCTCTGTCACCATCATTATCTCTTTCTTATCAGTCACTTTCACTGCCACTATCACTGTCACTATATCAGCACTGACAGAGCAAGACGAACCTATCGTTGATAATAACGACGACGGACTCAAATAATTTATTTCAATAGTTATTTTCATCCTTGCATTGGTTTGTTATTATTATCATTATTGATATCATTATTGCTGCAATTAATAACATCATAACTAGTACTGACCGAGCAGGTCGAGCCTGTAGTTGATAATTACGACGATAACCTCAAATTATTTCTTTTAATAGTTATCTAATCCTTGTATAGGTTTGTTATTATTACCATTCTTGATGTAATTGAAAATATAATAATTAGTACTGACCGAGCAGACCGAACCTGTAGTTGATAGTTACGACGATAACCTCAAATCATTTCTTTTACCAGTTATCTTTATCCTGTATTGGTTCGTTATTTGTATCAATATTGATGTAATTAATTATATAATAATTAGTACTGACCGAGCAGGCCGAGCCTGTAGTTGATAGTAACCACGATGACCTCGCCATACACGGCCAGCACGGAGCCGTCGTACGGGTTGCCGCTGTTCCACTCGTACGACTCGCCGTGGATGTAAACCATCGTCGGGTACCTGAAGTTCCGCGTGCTCGCTGTAGGCAGAGAAATGCGTCGATTATTTAAATTAATTCTTTATTGAATAATTAATTCAAACACTAGTATAGCATTTATCAGTTATCTGAAGGTATATACGTTAGCTGAAGCAAGTTTTGTACCTAAATTCCATACTGAACTCTTACCCTGATGTTTATTAGAATAATAAAGATATAATAAAGCTCTAAAAGTTCGATGTGAACTAAACAATTTATCCTTCTATTTCATCAAAACACTAGTTTTTCATCAAAAACAAATATTCCCCGGTATTCTATTTCATCAAAACAACACCTGTATACCGGTATGGACTTGGAATGAGAGCATACATTTCCTCCTACAGTTTGGTCTACAAATTCGATTTCGAAGAAGATATGCTGGCATGTGTCTGTGTTTCTGTCAATGATGACCAATCTTCAATCAAGATGGGAACAGACATAGATTAATTAAACCTCTCAACATTGGCCTGTTTCATATAATAATGAGAAGATGCTATTCGTTCTCAGCACTAGTTACTGATGCATGGATGGCAAAAGAGAATTTTGAACAGCCATGTAAACTAATGAGTAAAAATATCAAAATGTAAAATTAAACAGCAGAAATAGGATGTTTTTAGAAAAATACAAAATTACAGGACGCAAAATTCTATGTTCTGCATAGGATTTACGGAAATGTAAGTTCGGAACACGTTTTTTCTTAAAGCCGAAGTGCCGTAAGCAATTGAATAGGATACGCAGCAGTGACTGGTATTGGCTATATCCAAAAAATAGTATTAAATATATTAAAGAAACCGCCGCACATTGTTGGAGTATGCGACGAAATTATAGATGGACGTGTAGTGAAGAGTCAAAACGGCCTCGTCAACAGTGGCCACAATATCTGTGACTTGACAGCAACTTTTAATTTAGCTGCAACGCCGGCAACAACTGATGTTTTATCAGACCTTGCACTGCATTACAGAAACAAATTGTAATATAATATTTACAATAACAGCCTGTCCACAAGAACCATATTAAGTATTGGTCTGCTATAACAACAGCAGACCAATAAAGAGTGGGTGGCAGCAGCTGCTAATGAAGGCATACAGCTGCAGCTCTCAGGTCATTAGTGCCCTTTGCATGCAGTCGGATAATGAAATGAGCTCGCCGCCCGACGTCTCCACTTTGTTTTATTAACAAACCTAAGAAGGCAACTGCCCGAGCGCAACGTAGACCGGTTTCCGGGCAGGAAAGGGTCCGCACGTGTTCATTATATGGACCATCAAAATTTTATGGTTTCACCATTATGAAGATAAAGCTATTGCTTAAGCAACAGACAGTTGCTTAAGCAAGCATTAAGCAATCGTTTGCCGTTTCATAATCACCAAGCTAATGACATTTACGATTCACCATCATTTCAGAATCATTAAGCAACACAGTTTTACTAATCTATAATTGTTAAGGAAAGGATATGAGATGAATGAATCTTATGGAAATATTTCTAAGTGTAAGGATCTCAACTGCACTGTAGAGCAGTGAGGTGTTCGATGTAAATAGCATAAAATAAATATTCATCTAATGTTAAACAAAGTTAAAAAGCTGGAAAGGTGTATGTGATCAAGTTAAATTCTGAAAAAGTCACATCATGTCTATAGAAAATAATTCGTTATATTACACTTACGACTGTGTGTAAAACTTTTCTTATTCGATCGAATGATAATATATGATATAGCATATATAACAAAAATTGAAATGCTAAAGTGTGATAAATCGAGAATGAGCATCACTTCAAGATTGTGATGAACTTATATAGACCCACAAATTTCAAAGACGGAGAACTTGTGTTCCAAGAATTAAATAATGCTCCGGCGTTACTAAAACAGACTATGGCCAATTCTATTTCAATGTGCTAGCAATATCTATAATTTGATCATATTTTGCAAGAATTACGTCAAAACCTACTCGTCTGCACCAGATTAGCCCATCAGGCTAAGTTGTTATGCCGAGTTAACTAATCTTATCTAGTCTAAGGACTTCTTCAGCTTCGTTAGCAAATTCATCTCTTAGAATATCCAAAAGAACAAGTCAAGGTTTAACAGCACCAATAAGGGTCTCAACATAATGCTTCCAGTCGCACCAAGAACTTTGAGTTGCGATGCATTGAACTTATGCAAAATTTGCAGCGTGGAGCTCAAGTTGTGCGATTAAGCTTCAATAAAACTCGGCGCCGAGTTTCGCTCTAACAAATGCCCTGCCCCGAATAATGGCAGCCTTACTGATGAGACCTCAAGACACTGAATTTGTGAGTCCGACGCTTCATTAACCGACCAAAACTGCTGCGTTTCACTCCAGTGCATTTCTGCAGCGCGTGACTGCATTACAATGCGAGTGAGTTTCAGATAAGAAGATCCACGGAACGGATTCAACTGCTGCGTAATTTCATCTTTCTTTGACTCCATAAGTTAATTTATATTAAGATGAAAATATTTGATCATCATGAATTGTTTAAATTGTATAAAGATCATTTATTCTATACATTTGTCGTTTTCATGCTCCTCTAGTTCAGAAACGTCGTTCATTTGTGCTATTCAGGTGGTTCTGGGAAAATGCTGAATAGTTAAGCAACTTTGAAATGAAGTAATGGCAATCATAATGCGTTGGGTAGCGATGCTCATAGATTAATATTCTCAATGATACATGGAAAAACTCGTTATAGAACATTATAATTGACCATTAATTTAAAATATTTAAGGATATTTTGCGAGTAAACGTTATGCAACCTCTGGTGAATTTATCGTTATAAAAATAAAGAAATAGAATTTATTGTTGTTGAATGTTCATGTAGTAAAGAAGAAATGTAGCAAAGAAATGTAGTAAAGAAGAAATTTAGAAAAGAAATGTAGTAAAGAAGATAGTTCATGTAGTAAAGAAGAAGCAGAATTACATTAGTTACCAAGTCACTTCAATGTAATGAGCAAGTAATAGACGAGTAATGGTGGACAACATCGTTTTTTGTCTACGTAAATTCAGCACTGCAGTCGCCGCTATTTTGGCGACTCGCGCGGTGAAACGGCGTTGCGAAGGATCAGTCGCCCGCCCGTGAGCAGCGAATAGTTTATTGTGAATTTCGGGCCCGCGTAATGCGGTGGCGGGGAATTGCATAGCAGAAGGCTGTCTAAACTCTGACCTAACACGTAATAGATGCAGAAACCAATGTATCTCTACATACGTTTGGTAAATAAATGACGAAGCGTTACGCGATACGAAAATTAACGCGTCCCGTTTGTGATCATTTGAATTTGAAAACATTTTAATTATTCATAATTATAATGAAAACTATTGTTACTATCATTTAATGGAGTTTGGAGCGAGACAACGACGAGCAAAATTAGGAGGTGGCAATGAAATTTTTGAGCCATAAAACAGGCTTTTTCCCCTTACTTTCGCTTGGTAAAGTACTAACTACATGAACAGCTAGAACGATAATAACAGCACAAGTGTGTCACAATCATAAATGAATGAAAATCATGTTTCAATCAGCATGAATGAAACATAACATAACACACAACCCCCAACTAAAATAATTCATTAAGCACCATTCTTGAACGGTGTCTTCGAATTTATAGGATTAAACTTTATTTACTTTAGTTAATTCTTACTCTTCAATAATGTTTATTTATTATTAATATTTCCTAGCTTCATGCAGTGTCGGTATTAAAGTGTAATAGTAATAAAGTTATGTCGTGATGTCCATTTCTGGTGAATTAGTTCAGTTGCTGAAGTTGATGCGGCGTAAGCGAAGCTACGAACATTGGCATTGGCTGACGACCTTTGAAAATCCAATCAACGAGTGTAATGACCGAATGGAAAGCACGGGAATTTTTTGCCAATTTTAATGATGAATAATATTATTGTATTTTGTTTTCCTACCTAACAAAACTCGACGTCTAGGCATTAATTCACAAATTTTTAATAGCAAACAAATTAAACTGCGCGAATTCTTTATAGCTTCTGACGTTTATTTTCTAAATTTAGTTACCATTTATTCATATTTTCAATCAATTGCATGCGAAAGAATTTCTAGCGCTAGTTACATCAAACATTAACAACAAAATTGAATCATTGTCGTTCAGAATAAAACCGATTTTTGAAAATTCTGAACGATTTCTATGCTATCGAAAAAGCGATAAAATCTCCGATATGAAACACATTTTAAAATTCTATTTGCTTATGATTTAGGAGCGAGGTCGCGTAATAGGTGGCCAGATTGCCATGACGAGACAGCCCAGATGAGGGCTAGATAGTCAAGGGGTTTATGCGTCCCATAGCAATCACAAGACGAGGTCCGCAGCTATGAACTCAAGTCTTCAGAAACTGACGGTCTATATTTTGACGGTCATTTAGTGCAAAAATGTGAACTTTTTCGCTAATTCCGCTTCTTATTATGCTGCCGGTTAATGTTTCATTGATGTGTCTCTGCATACAGACCTGGAGAAGGGTTGATAAATTAAGTAAAACGTATAAGATCAAATTTCAAAACGTGTCATCACTGTTACTTAGGAGCATCCGAGTGAGAAAATACAATACAATTTTTCTCGGTTGTTTCTGCGAAGAATTATTTTTTTTTCTTTTTATTTGTCCCAAAAATTTTGAGCAGAAGTAATGATTATATGCATATTGCACATGAAAGGAGCGGAGTTTACATTAATTAATAAATGTCAAAAATAAATTTATTCTCTTTGTTTTCACTAATTAATATTGTTTCAGCATTCAAATCGCGATTTTTAAACTCGTAGAAAAAAAAACTAGGAGCTCAACTATCACCGACCCAAGTCGTTTCTACTTTCGTTTTAAGAAATATTAATCATGAACAAAATATTTTTTAGTAATATATGTACTTTCAAACATTCGGAATCTAAATCCGATTTCTTTACATTCATACATCACGTCATGAAACTTAATAGATTCCATTTGTGTGCGTATTCTTTTCAAATGTGTGATTTTAGCTCTCGTGTCAATGGGCA